GCCACTCAGATGCCCCCATTTGTTAAAAATATTCTTCAAAAATACCCTTTCTAGTCCCTAGGGCTTTGTATATTCCAATGTAGGGGGTGTATTCTGAACTGGGGCATAGCCAACAAGAATGGGCATGTTGGGGTGTTTGGAAAGGTAGAAATACAGGTGACTGAGGTCATAGGGACAGGAGGGCTTGAGAAGGATCCCTAGGTTTTTGGTTCCTACCCTTTCTCTCCATGTCAGGAGGTGTGTGACCTCAGCATCCCACACGACCATCCCAGAACTGCTGTGCCAGGCCTAGTTGCTCATCCTTGTGACTTACAGATCAAAGCCTGTTGCTGAATTGTCATCAGCCCAACCACCGGAAGCAAGCCTCAGATCTGGAGGACAGTAGGGTTATATTTTGTGGTTGCCTTGGACTGGAACCACTATGGTGTTTCAGTTCAAAGAAAAAATGGAAAGGCTCATATTTACGTGGGAGGCAGTCAGCAAACTCCAGAAGCATGAACCTTCTGCCAGCAATCAGGGATCTACAGACAAGATCAGTGACCCTAAGAGAGCAACGGACCCTTCTAGCCCCTGGGGAGGAGTTTCGTCTCCAGAATAATCTCGCTTTATAGGACACAGTGTCCCAGAATCTGCAAATTCATCCTGGGTTTACTTTCTGGGGGTCGTGGGGTATTTCCATATTTGAGGGTTGGCTGCTTAACTCTTGAAGTTACATGGCTGACCTTCATTGTTGGGAAAAATACCTCAAAGACGGGTAGCTGCCAGTCTACCTCATTCCGCACTCAGGCGCCAGTGGGACTGGTCAACGTAGAGACTGTAGGCCAGCTAACGATGGGCACGCTACCCACAGAGCTGCTGCTCGATGCTGCTGTCTCTGATAGGAACAAGGGGAAATGTGTCTGAGATGTCTCTGCTAGCCCCTGACCTCAGTGACAAGTCCTCAGCTCCAAGGGGGAGGCCCACCTTGGGAGCAGGAACAAAAGGGCTCTGTTCTGTGTGTTGGAAGGGCGCCGTACTGAGCAAATGTTCATGGGGATCCCACAGAGACTCCTTTGATGAGAAACCACTCCACCCAGGACATCCTTGCCCAAGAGTGACCAGGCGCCCCTGGGAGCCAAGGAAAGATATTTTGTTCTTGTGAGTGACCTTCTAACATGTGATCATTTCTGAGAGGACAGTAGCCCTTTAGATCTTTAAACATAGCCATCAGTTGCGTTCAAAAGCATGGAGCTGAAAGCGATTATGGAGGCTGTTGAGTTGACCTCCTTGGCTTACGAAGGGGGAAACTGAGTCCAAACAATTAGACGAAAAGCCCAGGGTAATACGCTCTACCCACTCTCTCCCACAGTGCATTTCTGTTCAAGAAACCACTAAGCTCACAGTTGTACAGATGAAAAAGAATGAACAAAACCTTGGAATACTCCCAGAGTGTGGATGAGTGCTGGATCCCAGTTGGTATCCAGGAGATAGAAAGTCCGCAGGACTTATGCACTGCCTCTGCTTGGGGGAATTTTAGGGGCCGTGTCGTTTCTGTTTTTGGTTGTTGGTGGTTTGTTCACACGTCTGATACAAAATTGTCTCTTGGGCGTCACCTTCTGTTCGTGGTAGCACATTTCCATTCTTCCCTGCAGTAGCCCTCCAGTGAGTCAGCTACTCCCACAGCCGCGTCAGAGAGAAACACGTCAAGTTCACACAACTTCGGGGAGCTTGGCAGGTGCCTGGGTAGATGCAAGTTGTGAGAACCTCCGGCTAGTTCAGAGCCTGGCTCCGTGGCAGAGGCAAGGGATCGACCGCCTGCCACCTACGTCTGAGACAGCTCTGGTCGGGGGAGGCAGAGTTTCTCCTCTAGGACTCTAGGATTTTGATGGCTTCCTTACATTTAGGTCTTTCATCCATTTTCAGGTGATTTTTGTGTCTGGTGTAAGAAAACGGTCCAGGCTCATTTTTCTGCATGCCGCCGTCCGGTTTCCCCAACGCCATTTGTTGAAAACACTCTTTTTTCCGTTGGATACTCTTTCCGCTTTGTCAAAGATTGATTGACCATATAGTTGTGGACCCCGTTCTGGGTTTTCTGTTCTGTTTCATTGGTCTCTATGTCTGCTTTCGTGCCAAGAGCACACTGTCTTGATGATTACAGCTTTGTAATACAGCCTGAAGTCCGGGATTGTGAGGTCTCCAGCTTCAGTTTTCTCTTTCAGGATTGCTTTGACTATTCAGGGTTTTTTTCTGGTGCTCTACGAATTTTAGGTTTGTTTGTTCTAGATCTGTGAAGAATGCTGTTGGTATTTTGATAAGGATGCATTAAATATGTAGATTGCTTTGGGAAGGATAAGCATTTTAACAACGCTTGTTCTTCCGATCTGTATAAACATTATTTTTAAAGACGATTAGGATTCGTGTTTGTATATACCTCACTTACTTACTTATCTCCATTTTATTAGAAATTTGGGGGGGAGTCCACATTGCAAAGGTACTTTGCAAATACGGCTTCACTTTGGACAAGGAGACATATCGGCTGTTTTACTAGGCTTCTCTACATTCAGCGAAGCCAAGAGAGCTACTGAGGTCACATTTTATTATTTACTTCCATAGTCTCACTGGGAGCATGGAGAAGGGGGGATAATGTAGGAAGGGAGTCTTGATATTAGAATTAGGATGAAGCCTCAGGGACTCTTGTAATTAAGAAATATTCTTTAGAACATTCTATCGCATGAAGCAATTGATTCAAAGAACAGATCATTATGCTAAGTCCTAGAAATATAGAGTCTCAAAACTTCGAATGCACGAGCCACCTTCCATAGAAGCGGTGCTCTGCCTCCTTCGGAAAATTCTCAGGGGAGCCTCATTACAGAAGGCAGTTTTGTTTGGATTCATATAGCACCACCTGCTGCTGAAAAAGAAAGCTACGGAGAGGAGGTCTGGCATTAAACACCGATGGGTACAAGAAACAACGGGGAACTGGTAGGTGGTCCCTTACAGGATCCAACTTGGGTGAGAACCGAATTCAATTTTAAACATCAAAAAGGCCGGGAGTGGACTTCTGGCTCCAAAGGGCTGCAGAGTACATTTTATTAATTTCCCCACCTCTTGGAAATTTGTACCCCAATTCAAAGAATATACATACAAACAGGGAGAGATGCATGTCAGAACAGGAAGCCACGGAAAGGGGCCCACCGTGTTCTGGAACCCATGAGAACTTTCTGGATGACGTAGCGCAGGTGGCACTGGATCGGGGGAAGGGCTCATTAGCCTGCCGCTGACCACGTGGGAAGAAAACACCCGGAAAGTGAGTGAGGCAGATCCCCAGAGCCCGCCAGCTCACGGTGCCAGGGGCTGGAGGGGAGGCTGGGTCGCCGGGTCCAAAGCGAGAGGCAACAGTAGGTGTTCCTTCCACCCTGGGAAATGTGCCAGGTGCTGGAAGTCCACGCACACACCGGACACGCGACATTAGCCAGGCGCTGACAGGGCTGGCTTCGAGGAACGGCGGGCACATCGGGTAGGAGAGGTGGCAGGTGCCCCTAACAGATCCCCACCCTGGAACACTAAATCCCAGGGAGCATTTGAACCAACTGTGGTTTCCAGATCTAATAACAAACACCCGAAGATTCTACACTCAGCCGATCGTTTAAGCGTGATGACCACAACATAACATTCTCAGACACGCAAATATTCCGAGAGCTTTCCATCTGTGTAACTTTCTTGAGAAAAAGCACACCCGCACAGACACACACACACGCACACGCTCAAGAATTATGGTACTGAGTAATGAAACCAGCATAATTCAAGAATTAAGTCAAGATCATTGTGGGTAATAACGTTATATAAAAACACTTAGGAAGGGAAGTAAAATCATTAATACCATTAACCTCGTTGTCAACCTCTATCTCTCTGTCCCTAAAATCCCAGACTTATGTTTTCGGTTTCATTATTCACCCTGACGGAGAAATGAGTCCAAGGATGTACTGTTTTACATATTGCTTATAAACTCAGCACAAAGGGAGGGTCTCCAAATTATTAGCATAAGAAAGGAGCACGGAAACTGTGACCAATATGGCAAGAGCCATAACCGAATTTAACTCGAGAATGTTGATTTTAAAAGCCCTCAGTTAAATCTTCGGAGATGGAAATCAGCAATATAGGAAAATCATAATACTCTCAAGAATGCGTGGATGGTTCCATATTTAAAAACCTATTCCTGTAACATTCATTGGACGGGATTCGACAGGAACGGACCTGAGCTCTTCTCTGAAACCACCTTCTAGGCTCCCCTTTTGGGTCTCTCTTGAGTTCTCTCCTCCACCACCTTTGCCCTTGTCTGTAATGATCTGTCACTCTCGTTTGTTTATTCCCCATTGTTTTTCCCTCACGAGGACAGCACTGCCCTGGGATCCATGTCCTGTCTGGCTCGTTCACACCTGTTTCCCCAACACTTGACAAAGAAAGGACACGTAACGGCTGACATGGTGTTTAGACATCGGTTGCCTTTGTCCAGTACCTATGCGGTATATCTATCATTCAATTTTTATTCATTGATGGGTGAAGCTAGGGATGAACGGGTGGCAATGAGTCTATACGTCTGCCATCATCCTATAATTTACCAGGGGAGACAGACAATCCCACAAGCCCGTCCATATGTCAGTGTCAAAACCTTGGTGTTCTGTGCACCTTTTTCTGTTCTGGCGAACTCGCTGAATAAACGGTGGGAACTGTTTTGCAGGAAGCTTCCGCAACTTCTTCTCGAGAAAAGTCTGGGAAAGTAGAACCGCAAAGTAGTAACTGCCAGCTTCCCAAAGCCTGTCACCAAAGGACACGCAGCAACTCGACCAGTAAGTGCGTCATCGAACTGTCCTCAGGAGCGGAGCCTCGCTGTCGCTGAGGACCGGGAATATGAGTGACGCGGGGAGATCTGGAGAAGGGCGGGTCTCTGCTAGTCCGGTTGGGGTAAACCCGGCTGCGGTCGGCTTGCCTCTCTGTGACCACCTGTCACTGCGCGTGCACATCCTGGCCAGCCAGAGGTGGTGGTGGGGCGGGGGTGGGGGGCGCTCTCTATGGTTTCGACACTTCTGCCTCTAGTTGGACTCCAGCGCCGTGTTGGGGAGACCCATTATAGGGGATAAAACACAAAGGGTTTCCTCCCACTCTGTCTTCTGATGGGCTCCTCGATTTCAGGAAGGCTACTTGCTCTCCTGGGGCCTCCATCACCTCATCTGTCACAAGAGGGGAGTTGAGGCTGGTGGCCGCCATGATTCTTGGTTGCTATAAATGGAATAGCCGTAATCCAAAGTGAGGACGTTTGAAGAACGCAGAAGGGCATGAAGAAACGAAAGCCACACCAAACGCCGCCGTTAGAGATAATCGATGTTAACATTTTCGTTATTTCCCTTTTGTGCCCGCGTATGCCTATAGACTACGCACACGCGTGCTCACGCACAGCATGACGTGGCTTCGAGTCCCTGGAAATTCTTTCCTACACACCATGTTCAGTGGGTGCCTCGTATTTCATTGTACAGATGTATCCGATCTAGGTAATTAACTCCCTACCGTTAGACAGCTAAGTTATTCTCAGTTTTCCACTAAGATTATCAGCATTGCTGAGTCTGTACTTCAAATTTTGTTTGCGTCTGTGATGATTTTCTGAGGGAAACACAGAGGGCAGTGGACGCGTTGTAGGGTTTGGAGCTCACACTTGCTCCCAGAGCTCATTATCTATGTGACCTTGGGCAAGTGCCTTAAACTCTGTCGCATATAATTCTGCCGCAGGATGCACCATCGAAAACGTTGTTCCCCAAGCTCATTTCCTATTTTTGGACTGATACTTACATTGTTTTTAATCATACATTTTTGCTTGTTGCCTCCTTTAGAATAATTTCTTTTTTTTAAATTTTTTTTACTTTTTTAAAATTTATTTCTGAGACAGGGAGAGACAGAGCATGAACAGGGGAGGGTCAGAGAGAGGGAGACCCAGAATCCGAAACAGGCTCCAGGCTCTGAGCTGTCAGCACAGAGCCCGACGCGGGGCTCGAACTCACGGACCACGAGATCATGACCTGAGCCGAAGTTGGCCGCCTAACCGACTGAGCCACCCAGGCGCCCCCTAGAATAATTTCTTAGAAACGGAGTTTCGAAAGGAAAACGCACCTTAGATTTTGATCTGTGCTGCCAGCTTTAAGTAGCCGATACTCCAGTCATGTGTACGAGCACCTGTTTCTTCAATCACAGCCCACACTGTGTTAAAATTTAAAAATGTATATTTTTCTGCAGATTTTTTCCTGCTTCCTCTGCTTTTTTTCTAGCCCACTTCTCACCCAGGAAGGGCCACACAATTTGTGGGAATCAGTGTAAAATGAAAGCGTGGGACCCCTGTTCAACTATTAAGAATTTCAAAATGGATGCGTTAGAAATCAAGCCAAGGCTCCCTCTGCGTTTGGGAGTCTGCGTGGCTGACTTCACAGGCCGCATGCCCGCGAGCCCAGCCCTGCTTGCTCCCTGCCCCTGGCCCTGAGGTTGCTGGGGGAGCCCAGTCCTCGAGGAGCGCCACCAGGGGACTGGAGGCGGAGGAGATGCTCCCGAGTGTTTCTTCCCCCTCCCTCCACCTCACCTGGCACCTGACCTGCCCGGTGCTCTGGCCCCGAGAGCAGGTGGAAGGAATCCCTCCACACAGCCGATTCTAAGCGTCTCTTGGTTCATTCATTTGCTTTTGGGGAGTCTACCTGCTTTTTTTTTATTGGTGTGATCAGTAATATTGTTAGTTTATAAGGAGCCTCTGGGGGACCCCTGGGAGGCTCAGTCAGTTAAGCCCGACTTTGGCTCAGGTCATGAACTCGCGGTCCGTGAGTT